CTAGTATTGAGGATGCTGTTTCATTAAACACATCCTATATGTATGATTATTTCTATCAAGCTGTGTTTAAGTCCGTGATACGCTGTTGCTTAAAGCTACACAGTGTATCGGTAATGTGCTTGATACTTAACTTGCAGTATGTAGATTTTGCTACTAAAGGTGTTATTAATGCTAACGATTATCTGGATAGGGTAACATGCTGTTGCCTAAACTTCGGGTATTGACCATATGCTGTACTGCATTAAAGGGGCATGCTGCTCTTCTCAGCTGCTTATTAAAGAAGAGCACCCCTTCACTGCTTCTCTTCTTAAAGGGCATGCTGTCCCAGTCTATGCTATTTCAGATGGTCTTTGCTTTAAAGCTATTAGGGTATTGGGATTTTGCTTGCTTGTTAGGGCTTCCGATTGTTCTTGAAATATGCTTACTGCTTATGGCTCATCTAGTATTGGGAATGCTATTTCCTTAAGTTTATCTGACTACTGCAACATGCTGTGATTAAGCAAGCAACATGCTTGTTCATCAGTTGTGGTTTCCTATCGTTTGTGTTGGGGGTGGGGTTATTATTGTTGCTCTCCCTGCTCATTCATGACAGGCTGCATGGATGGGCAGGGAGTTTTTTTGCCCAGAAAAGAACCATACCACCAAACCAAACTTTATGCTAAGTATCTATCATTTTGACGACAGTGGTCCTGACAGAAATTAAGTGCTAGCGTTAGTTCTGGCAGGTCACGTGAGTCAAGCTGATTCTCAGCTGATCACATCTACCTATAGGAATATGACACCTATCGCGGCATTCCTATATAAGCTCTATTCAGTATTTTTCAGCAGTTTTTCAGCTTGCTCGGGAGCAAATTATCCTTCTCCATCCCCAGCTCCTCCTTTCGCCACAGTCAGGACTTGGCTTTCTGATATTCCTTGCTTAATCAGACTCAGCTATCTTGAATAAAGTGTTACTCTTACATATCATTAAGTACATGAATTATATCTGCCTTGTTCTGTTCTGTTCTGTTAACCCTAGGGGGGTTATTATTGCTGCTCTCCCTGCTCATTCATGACAGACTGCATGGATGGATAGGGAGTTTTTTTGCCCAGAAAAGAACCATACCACCAAACAAAACTTTATGCTAAGTATCTATCATTTTGACGATAGTGGTCCTGACAGAAATAAAGTTATTGTCTCCCAAAATAAAGAATCGACTCTGAGCAGCTGAAACGAGTCGTTAGTAATTTGAATCCCACTTCCCTGATGGCTACACGTCCCGGGGTAACACATTTGCATAATACGCGCCTATGTTCTACGCTGGCCGGCCACGAACAACTTGAGCCCGCCCACAAACATGTCATTCTACTGACGACTGCTTCTCTAATCTCGGGGAGTTCAACGCGGGATTCACAAAACGCTTGCTGTATCAGTATCCTGTTTATTTGGACCAGCTGCTCCACTGAATCACAACCTGTAAGTATGATAAATAACAGATGTTTACATTTTATATAGAGTGTTCAAAATACAGAACTATTGAAATAGGCATATCGTTTCCGACACTCCCTGTACGCCGTAGACCAATCACAACAGACTAGGCCATCTGACCAATCAGAGCAGAGCAGGCTCACGAAAAGGAGGGGCTTAGAGAGACTGAATCTTTGAACTGCTTCAAACGAATTGTTTGAGAATCGCTGGAAAATGAGGTGATATTAAATGCATATTTTGAGAAAACGAAAGCGTTTTTTGACCTTACATGCATGTAATCCTATTGTAGGAGACTCCCAAAACAATATTAGGAACCGTAAAAATAGCATAATAGGGGCACTTTAAATTGTAATGCTTTTTCACAATATTGCTGTTATAAATAGAGTTTTGATCAAATAAATGCAGTCTTGGTGAGCAGAAAAGACTTCTTTCCAGAAAAATAAATCTACCCAAACTCATGAATGGTAGTGTATCTGCTTGGTAACAAAGGCTGAAATGTTAGTTTATTAAAAAAAATTAAAATAAAATTTACATCCAGATATATATTTGAATATCATCAAAACACAAAAAATACTGAGATATAATTTGTCCAGTCAAAGCCCTAATACTCCAGCACAGCACATTATCTCAAGCAGCAGATGAGCATTAGAAGATTAGAACAGAGGCCAGGTAACGCTGGCAATGCACGACTGCATGTTAATCTGCTAAAGGTATCGCAGCAGTTGGAGGGAGATGAAGAACCAGTTTATCAGCATCAAGCAGCACATGAACGAGCCACAGGGGGAGAAGCTCCACCCGGGGTGCTCTTGGAGCGAGAGCAGACCGGGTATCTGGCAAATTGGGGTCAGGTCAATGATGCACAGGTGCCCATTTCTGGTTAGATTATCAAAGGTCCAGCTCCCAAAACTGAGCATACTGGAGGAACTATCAAAACCAAGTTTTTACAGCCAACTTTGTCTCCTTTCCCAAATATTATGATGCCATATGGGCTTCCTGTTCCTTGAAAATAGCACAGATTTAGCCAAAGCCGATATTATTTCAACTCAAAAATTATATGGGAACAGGCTGGAACATGCAGTGCTGACAATCTAGTGTCTTAAATTCCACACATTTTAGAAAGTTTGCCCACTCTGAAAAACAAACGAGGATTTGGATGTCTCGTTCCAAACAGGTTTGACAAGAGCAACAGTTTATTTTTTTTTATTCAATCCAGTTCAGAAAGAAACAGCCTGCACATACACAATCTGGCAACATTTCAGCAAGCCCAGCATTCGACCATTCGAGAGTCCATTGATGACGGCTGCGCCTACTAATCGCAAACTTGACCAAGAGAGTCACGA